AAAGGAAGATGTTCTCGCGAGGGGCATCGTCCGAAGCATCCGCGACGCCGTTGGCAGACCCGTTACCGTTGGATCTGACTTCAGGCTCGGAATCAGAGGAAGGGTTTTGGGCCTTTGCGGCCTGTCGTCGAGTTTGTGGGCTCATGGTGTTAATCAAGTTTCGTTTTATTGTATGTTGAAGGTGAAGCTTCGAGTTGTCGTGATTATCAAGGTGGTGTGGCTTATCATGCAGCGGCGGAGTTTGGATCGAGATAACGGACAGAATCTGCGAAAGGGGCAGGGATTACTCGGCGCTGTTGAAGCTATCGAAGAGGCCAAAGAGAATTTATAGGTACTAGGGTTCGTCGCGTTTCGCGAGAGGCTAACAAAAGAGACTCGTGAAAGATGTCAGAAGGAGTGGATGTGAAGGAAGAAAAATAGAATCTAGGAGGAAGCTCCAAAAACTCGAATCGAGTCGAGCGGAGGAAGTCAATGGGTGATGACGAACGGCGGAAGGCAAGGTAAGCTTAGGTTAGAGGCTCCCTTTCCATGAGATGCTCCCGCCAAGCGAACAACAGGGGGTGGTTTTTCGGTAGTCTCGGACATGTTTAGAGCTTGGCCGCGTGTAAATTCAGCGGCTTGGTGTGCTGATTTGCCCGCTTTCCACTGGCCGAGAGCTCCAAATTTGCACCAGTCGCAGATTGATCCCCTGAAATTGATATCCGCTCATGGCAAATTGTCAGCTTAGAAAGAGGGCGCCTACTCCACTTTCAAGGTCAATTTCTTGGATGGATATTTGCCAATGATGAACAACTCATCATCTCACTGTCAAGACGTATGATTTGCTCATGAAAGTCTCGAGATCCAAGGTTGCCAGTCGCATCGATTGTGAATGCGACCTCGGCTTGCAGAGACAACATATGTTTTTCCATGTCATGTCATGACTTCGGTTGTCTCATCAAGACATCGACTTATATCCGGCTAACATGCGTAGTCGCGACGTCCGTCGCACTGGTAATAATGCCAGAACAGATAGAGTGGTGATCACTCTAACATGGATTAAATGCATTAGCGGCAAAATGTTCAGATCACGGCCCCTATGATTGCCGCGGTCGTGGTTTGTATAGATAAAATTGAGCTTCAAGAGCCTTCAAGTCCCAGCACAATATATGTAGTTAGTGCTTTTTCTTTGGCTCCTTATGATCCCTTGTAATGACAGCTGGTTCTTGATGACCGTGAACCCGGTTATCATGACACTTTAAGCCACAGCAATTTGTCATTGAGATTAAGATATATGCGCGCTGAGAGCATTAGACTATTAAGAACTCATTCAGTTGCAGACATTGTCGTACGGACCCCGCAACCTTGTTAATGAATGCGAGTCAACACATGGCACTATAAGTTGATGAGTAAAACCGTGGCCTTAAACCCGCGAGTCGAATACCTCGCGCTTTGTTCAAACACTCAAACACCACGCGGACTCAAGACGTCAACTCTACCGGTGGAACTGTCTATTCAGCTGGGTCGACAGCCTCGCTTCAACAGAGTTCGACTGGGACGGACTATTGTTGTCAGTGGCTGAGCAATCATGATATTATAATGAGCGACTAATCCCGAGTATCCCTAGGACCCTGACCTTGGTCACAATTCACACCAATATGCACATTGACACTTCGACGGCTCAGTCCAAATCTCCAACTCGTTTCCAAACTCCAAAGCAAACACTTTTATGATATCTCATGTCTAGGGTCTCTCTGACTTGAAGCCCCAACGCGCCTCGCTTCGGAACGACTCCCACTTCCCGTCCCGTCTGGATATATTTCTTCGTAGCTTTGGCTAGAACTGTGGTAGTCGCGCGCCAAGCAGTATTGAATTGCTTGACTCTGTGAGCCATGCAATCAGTCTGATTGTGGCGGTCGACTAGACTCATTAGTTTGCGGGACTTTCAACTGCACGTTGACAAAGGCGGCAGTCGGCAACTGAAGTGTTCCCGAGTTCTCAATTGTCGCTTCTCACTGGTATGAAAAACGACAAATATCAGTCGGTTGGTGGTTTTACGAGCTGCAGACACGCCAGAGGTCTGAAAATTCTAAATAGACTCAAGGGAGCTAGCGACAGGCGTAGCTTAGCAGAAAGTGGTAATCATGTCAAAGAGCAATTTCCAGAACAGTCCTCCATCTGTTGCATTAGGTTTTCCCGACTATGATAGATATTCGGGAGTTCCGGAGAGTGGAGGGACTTACGGCATAGCCGAGACACCAGGCAGTATGTACCGTACAGTAGTGCGGCACGCAGATGGGACCCTTGTTTTGCTTGAGGAGCTTACTGAATGCTTGTGTTGAGGTATGTGTGTATGCTGTAAGGTTAACTTTGCCAGGGTTCAAGTGTAGGAGTTTTGGTTGTCACTCGCGGGCGGGAGGCTAAGAAAGGCAAAGTCTGGGGACGGCGGATCCTGACCCTGCCGACGATCTTGGGACGGTCATGATGAAGAGCCCGAGCTTGAGACTTGATAGTCTGGGGGAGGCAATTTGTCGTGGCTAGCTAGCTGGGCTGCCAAGGTGAGCAGGGGAGAGGTTAACTTAGACAGAGCTCTTAGCTTGGAATAAGCCTCCATCAGAGTTGATAATTAGTCGTTGGTGATAAAACGGCGGTGCCTTGCAGCAGCGAAAACCAAAAACCCCATGTCAAGTGAAGCCGCTACTGCAGCTAGCTCACCTCACTGCCGGTTGCTCCGTCCCGTCGTTGCGTCTCATCACAAGTGACAGATACTTTAGCAGCGAGTCTCGGTGCGTACCGCAATCTTATCCACCGGCAAGCTATTGCCAGGGTTTGTATTTGTGCCAGTCGGATTCAATCCAGGTACTCAGTTGAGGTACGCCAGGTACCACGCCCAAGGATATGGGCTCTCTGTATCGTCCCGTTTTCCCGTCTTGTCGTTTCGGTAAGCCGTCTTAGCTTTGTGAGCTACCAACAACATGTACCAGACAGGCAGGCAACGCGCATCTGGAGACGGTCAGGTTGATGCAAAGTCATGTACCTGGGGTTCTGTGGATCTTGACGTTGTACTCCGTGAGTTAGGTTAGTTGTCATGTCACCCTTAATCCCTCGCTGGCTCCGGCTTGAAGGACCGCTGAAACGGGTGTTTGCGGCAATAGTGTAGATGCCGTGTAACCCAACCAGGTCACTTGGAGGTTTTGGAAACTCAGAGTGACGACCGTATTCTAACCGCCTCATACCTGGGAGATGATCCCTCTGTTGAGCTTGGTGATGTTCTGTGTTGATACATCACCTGCAGCCAGGTTAGTATCGTAAACCCCATCAACTTTTTGATACATAGCCACTCCCACGGTTAAAAGCATCAATCCACCATGGTAAAGCCTCCCGCCTCTTGGGTTGTCTTGAACAGATCATTAAGCCAGGATTGGTTGTGATCATCTCGCCCTATTTCTCTAGTTTCTGATCCCTGATCCGCAAAGTGCAGCGAAGGCCAAACCCTGTCCGGATAGCTAACGTTGGACCTGGTCTCGACAACAGGTGTACGGATATGCTTGTTGAATTCCTCTAAAATCAGATGATTTTTGGGGTTTCGTGTCTTTGTTCATCCACCAAGCTTGTCTTGAATTGGCTTCTCGACTTGTCCGTCTTAGTGCCCCCCACGATACACGTCACTGACGGTATGGATCTAGGTATGGGGGCAATGGATTCAAGGGCTAGGAAGAATTTGTTTCCATCGGTGGTGGTGATGTGGTCAGGATGAGGAGAGGATGTTTTTTTTTTTTTTTTTTTCAGTTGAGCATTGTTTCACTGAGCAATGGCGAATAGAGAGAGGACATGTAGACAAGGTGTAGACATGTAGTTATACATATCGGATTACTTCCGACCAATTCCCCAAAGAAGGATTTATTTGCTTGCCGTTTCAATTGGCTGGTTCTTCCTTACAGAGTCTTCCACTGCAAAAATGGATGGATGGGTGTCAGTCCTTGGCCTTGTCCGCTCCGGCTAAAAGAGAACTACCAGGATAAGTTTGAGTTTCAAGCTTTGGATCGTCCATATCAGTGCTATTCTAGCCATTTTCTTTGAATTGCTGTCAAACATCCTTGCCCCTGTTCCTGTCTGAGTACATACAGTAGTGCCTCTACCTAGTGCGTACATGTTCCATTTGCCGCCTGTTACAGTAAAAAAGAGACACTCTTGTTGATCCCTGTTTGACGCCACGCCTGTACATACAGTACCTTCAATCTCCGAATGCCTACCTTGGTACTTACTTTCTGGCTGCGTTTGAGCCTCGGGCCTTAAAAGGTGTTAGCTTGTTATGAGTCTCGAGGTTCAGGCGCCCTTTCGCTTCATGTTGGAGCTAAGCTAAGGTACCCTAGCACTAGCACCTAACTTAGGTGGTAGTGACCCTCTCGCCTCACCTTCAGTGCCTTTTAGTTGGTTGGTTCCATAGGTCACTTTTGTTTAAGTCGAGCTGTGGATCGTCACTTTTCACTTTTTACCTTTCACCTCTCACCTACAGTCTCTTCTTAACTAACCCCCATCCCATCCCATCCCGTGTCATTCTGCGAAAGGTCTTTGACTTCAAACCTCCTCCTCCTTCCTCTTGACTCGCTCTCTTTCCTCTCCTCTCTCCTCTCCTCTTCTCTCCTCATAATTCTCCTCCCACTCCCGATCGACATTCCACCCATTTACGCCTCACATCGGACGACACTTTCAGTCGAGACCCATTCGGCCGAAGCTAATAAGATCTTCACCCCTCGTTCCTATCTGTGGCTCTTGTGTCCGTTTTTTCAATTCCCCCCAGCTTCCCCTCTATCAAGCGAAACCGCCACCTGCGCCAGGTTGACTAGATCGTTGTGAACTTCCTTGTGAATTGGCCTAGTCTCGAGGTTGCCCAAAACTTGCGACTTAGATCCACATACGATTTAGTTAGTGTACTTGAACTCGCTCCCAAGTTCGGGTCACCGTCTTTTCCGATACCTTTGTTCATATCAAATTGATCTTCGAACAAGCTTTACCGTATCATGTCGCCGCATCCTACCCTCAAGGCGACTTTCGCCAGTCGAGCTGAAACAGCTACCCATCCTCTCAGTCGACATCTCTACAAGCTCATGGACCTCAAGGCCTCGAATCTTTGCCTCAGCGCCGATGTCGCAACCGCTCGCGAACTGCTCTACTTCGCCGACAAGATTGGTCCCTCCATCGTCGTTCTCAAGACGCATTATGACATGGTTGCCGGCTGGGACTTTGACCCTAGGACAGGTACTGGTGCCAAGCTCGCCTCACTAGCGCGCAAGCATGGTTTCCTCATCTTTGAGGATCGCAAGTTTGGCGACATTGGCAATACGGTCGAGTTGCAGTATACTAGCGGTGCCGCGCGCATCATCGAGTGGGCACACATTACCAATGTAAATATGGTTCCAGGCAAGGCATCGGTTGCATCTCTGGCCCACGCTGCCAACCGATGGCTTGAGCGATACCACTACGAGGTCAAGACATCTATCAGTATTGGAACCCCCACCGCCAGTCAACTGGACGAGGATAGCGAGCGTTCAGACAACGAGAACCAGAAGGACACGCCGGAACCTGCTCGCGCTGACAGCGGCCGAAAAGGTAGCATTGTTTCCACCACCACCGTCACCCAACAGTACGAGTCAGCCGATTCACCGCGCCTCGTCAAGACGATTCCTGAGGGCGATGAGACGGTATTCCCCGGCATCGACGAAGCGCCGATCGAGAGAGGCCTGCTTATTCTGGCACAGATGTCGAGTCAGGGCAACTTCATGAACAAGGAATATACACAAGCATGTGTAGAGGCCGCACGGGAACACAAGAGCTTCGTCATGGGCTTTGTCTCACAGGAGTGCCTCAACACAGAACCCGAGGATGACTTCATCCACATGACCCCCGGCTGCCAATTGCCCCCTGAGGGCGCGGATGAGAATGAAGCCATCAAGGGTGATGGCAAGGGTCAACAGTACAACACGCCACAGAAGATCATTGGTATCGCCGGTGCGGACATTGCCATTGTTGGACGCGGTATCATCAAGGCAAGCGATCCCGAGGAGGAAGCTGAGCGATATCGGTCCGCGGCATGGAAGGCTTACACGGAGCGGGTTCGTTAAGAAGCGAAAACGACTGGAAGTCGGGACGGCCTTGAGGTTTTTCGCGCGGTAGACAGGCTGCACTGGAGTTATCGAGACATCTAGCGGGTCTGACGTGAATATCATGACTACATGCAGTATCCATGGAGTAACTCACTTACAAGAGAAATGAGACTTGGTTCCCTTATTGGGAACATGATCTAAGCACTAGACCTCCTCATACTGCATAAGCGTGGTTGCTCTATACAGTACATGCATCAATGAGACCAAGCTCAACACAACATTACGAGAATGATTATCGGAAAAGATACGAAATGTATATTGCAATGGCGGAATAATTCGATTCCTTGCGTGTGCTTACAATGCACTTCTTGTCGACGGTTAGAGCCAGCTAATTCACTCCAACCGCGCATTTCCATTTCTTCCTTCAATAACGTGGGTCCATTCAAAGATGCACAGGGCTGAATTCCATTCTTGTCATGGATGCCCCACAATCAAAGTGACGCCGTTTTCTTGGGAGTCCGGAGTTAAGTGAAGAGGACTTTGAAAGCTGATCCTCGTCCGCCGAGATCAGCATAGACCTTCCCATACTCCACCTTAATATTGACCTCTAGCCTCCAAGTTTCTGGATCTCATACTAGGTCCTTTACCATAACGTTGCATGTTTGCTCCTAATTAGTGTTCCCAAGTGATCAATCATTCATATCCGTTTCCGGAGAAGCCGACATGACAGCAGCAACCGAGGATGCTGATGGTCCGCGTCTGAGGAAGAGAAGACGTATTGTCATATCGTGCACTGAATGCCATCGAAGAAAGCAGAGGGTCCGTAACTATGAGACTATGATACATTTGTCTGATACAAGAAATATTTGACTGAATACATCTCTAGTGCGACCGCGAACAGCCATGCGGCAATTGCAAATCTCGAAACAAAGAGTCAGCTTGTATTTATGAGACAGGAGCTCCAACGGCCAAACAGAGCAAGCAAACAACAAAAGCATCGCCGACTTATTCGGATACATTCACTAAACAAGCCGAGCCATCGCCACCACGGTCTCTTGACTTATCGAATGAAAGGCTAGGCGAGCCTCTGTCATCCAAGGTAGCTGACTGGGGGTACGCTCACAATGGCGCGTCTACCATGGGTATACTCAAACGCATCGAGACTCTCACAGACGGTGAGGATGGGCCCCCGGATCTAACATCTCGTGATTCCTCTGGGGGCTCTCCCGGCAAAGAGATTGCGTTGAGGGAAAAGTACAAGTCTATAATTCGACAACTACCTGCCCGGAACTACGTCGAAAAACTCGTCGAGATGTACATGCGCGGCTTCAACTGGCAATACTACCCAATCGACCCTGACATTTTTTATGCGCAGCTCGACGAGTGGAACTCGTTGCCGTTCTCTGTATTCTCAGATGTCGGTCCCCACGGCTTGAACCCTGAACTGCGAGCCTTTCCGGCGGTTGTATTTCAAATCATAGCGACGGCCCTTCTCCTATTGCCTGAGAAGCCAGATTCCACATTCGACTCGCTCAAGTTTGCTGGGGGCATGCAATTCGAAGACTTAGCTGTCGAGTATAGCGAGTCAGGGCAGGCAGTTCTTGACCTTTTGGGGAAGAAGAACTTGTCTCTGTCTGCAGTGCAAGCACAATTTCTCAGGGCGTCATTCCACAAGTTTACCGCAAAGGTTACAGATGCAGTAAGTACTTGTTAGGAGATGGTGCCTAGAGAAGCGTCGACTGATGTTGGGTAGTGGCACACCATCGCAATTGCGATTCGCGATGCTCAGGACCTAGGGATGCATCGCGACAGCTTAGATCCCAGACCAAAGGACGCAAGCACCGAGAGTATATTAGAGAATCAATGGCTGATTCAACGGAGGAGGAGAATTTACATCCTGCTCGCCATCTGGGACCTCAACTGTGCCATGATTCTTGGACGTCCAGGAACCGTTGACTGGAATCAGACTCTTCCTACACCTCCAGTTGACGCGCCTATACCTCAATTCCGCACCAAGATGCCAGTGGTTTCTCGAAGCGAAGATGATCATCCTACACCAATTACTCGACTCTTGTGGAACTACGAACTCTGTGCGCCTTTGCGGGCAATTCAGAACCTTGAGGTCGACGGTTCATACCCCATGGACCCTGCAAAGATTGATGAGATTCACCAAGTTATTTTAAATCTCGATAAGAAGATTCCTGCTTCCTTTCGAATGGAGAACCCTGATACACGGTGGGACCACTTACCAGAGGCTCACTGGTATCCAGCAAATCGATTCTACTTTGCGAGTCTTCATGAGTTCAGTAAGATGGCTCTTCATAGGCCCTTTATCTTCAATCGCCTTGAGAGTCGAGTAGAGGCTATTCATGCGAGTCTGAAAACTCTCGAAATTCAGAAAATGACATTCGAAGGTCTGCCCCCGGACTCGTGGAGGAACTTCATGTTGTTTTTCGCTAGTTTCGATGCGATCGTACTCCTGGCATCCGTGTATATCTTATTTCCACGTGAGCACACGGAATACACCGACAAGACGATAGAACACTTTCAATGGACGATCGAACGGTTTTCGGCCATTCAGGAGCGTAATCCATTGGCCAAGTCGGCTCAGGGCGTGCTCAGAGCTATTGTTGCTCGGTTCAAGAGAGCGATGAACAAAGCCCAGGCTGGTTCCTTGTCATCTCTAGCTCCTAGCTCCTCGGCGGGATCGATCAAAGCAAACGCAGATTCGACGCCAGGTAGCTCGTCTTTAGGCAGCGGTGAGTTTTCGGGGCTGGACTCGACATGGATAGTTCCTTCAGCGGACAACCTGAATGCGATGGCCCCTTTCTTTCCGACAGGAGATCTTGTTTACAATGACCTTACAGCGGACCCCGGCATGACTATACTTCCTCTACCCCTGCAAAGTGGCCAAGGAGATATTGGCAACTATTCCATGTGGCAATTTGGAGGTGGATGGGGGGATGATACTGTTTGGCAAATGCTGAACCAGTTCCCTGCTGCGACGGACGGGAGCATTCCCGACATCATCTAGGGTCTTGAAAATGCCAGATTGTCGAATCTTGTGCTAGACTCACCGTGCAAACAGTGAGCGTGCAGGCTCTCCTTGATTTCATAATGTCGGTAGTCTTCTCTGTTTCGTTGGTTTGGATTGGCTCACAGCTTGATTTCACATTTCACATTTTCCAACACTTGAGGAAGAACTAATTGAAACATGGATGAATCAGACTAAAATACTTGATAACTCAGAAATCGCCAGAGCCTAATCTACTGCCCCAGAATAAGCTGCCTAGGCTGCACAGATTTATGAGGGTATCAAGGCAGACAGCCTGTCATATCTCACAGTGCCTGATAAGGTGGGCTACCTTGTATTCTCCATTTATACGAATGGTCGCTTGAAGTCTGAAGCTACAGCCATTGTGATACAGGATAAACGGGCAAATGCCTGAATGAGACAGTATGCCTCAGGGCTCGCCAGCTCTGGCAGTCCATAGTGGCAAGGCGTTCTAGTCAATGCAGCTGCACGCGTACGGCAATAGGGGCGGCTCTTGATTGGACAGGTAATATCTTTGACACGCGGAGCATGTCGCTTGCACGGGTGTCTGCATGATCAGGCTGAGGGCTTGAGACCCACGGATAGGCTGTCAGATAGACGGACACTGCTGTTGGGGGCCTCAAGAGCCGATGTTGGTCTGTTGTGGCACCTACTGTAACCCGAAAACCAACGCTGTCATTATTTGTCTTTGCTGTGGTGGTGGCGAATAGTGCAGTCTTGTGCTTGATTTACATACGGCTGGATGTATTAGTCGCCGTATGTGAAAAAAACATCCACCGGGGCGTTATGCGCAGGTCTTGGGGTAACTGAAGATTATTCAAGTTCTGTGTGAATATAAGACCTGGATACCTAGCCAAAGATGTTTTTGGTCCATGGAAAGATCAGAAAATCATAGAATACATGTTGAGCAAAGTGTATGAGTGTCTTTGAGGTCCCGTGTTTTTGTCTCAGCGCTAACCGTAGATGAATCAATGAGATGACAAGGCGTTTTCCAGATCAAACGGTAGCTACCTTACCTACCTAGAGTGGAGTTTGACTATGTGTAAGGCGAATCGACATAAAAAGCCGCACACTTGCACAGTCACACACAATTAAATTTGTATGCCGAAATATAGACAGATTTCAGGAGGAGAGAGAAACGAGAAACCAGAATTTTGATTTAGTATTGGCTTCCTCAGTCCAACATTTCGCACCCAATCATATATTCACACCTGGAAAGATGGAAGTACCTTTTGTAATCTTTCCCATTGATTTGTGTCGTCGTTCTATCAATAGGTGCGAGGCGTGAAATTTGAGCCAATCAGATTGACCCGGGGTTCGATCTTTCACCTTTGGCGCGCGTCTCCACTGTGGATCTGCACCTGCAGCTTGCATGGGCAAGGCCGTGGGCTGATGATCCCTGTCTCAGGTCTGCTTAACTGTGATCGCTGGCGGGAAGGAGCCAAGTGTGCTATAATAAATCGTCAATTTTAGTACCCAGGTATGAAATATAGCAGATTAGTGAATACAGTTCCCAGTTACCTTCCCTTTTCACTTGCAGATTTTAGATTCGTGCATTGCAGAAATCCGCAAATTTACTTTTATCATAAGACTTAATTCCGTTTCCATGATACGTCCTTTTGCAAGACATTTAAGTCCCGGTTATAAATAAGGCTGTGCTTAACTTTTATGTCACCACATTTTAGCCAACCCAACTTCGGCTTTTATCGAGGCAAGGTCGCAAGGAACACGACGTTAAAAAAAAAAAGTTTTTTGCGAAAAGTTGCACACCAAATGTAACTCGATCGCATGCAGTTGATTGATATAAGATCAACGTCAACGTCATCTTCTTTTCTCTATCAACGATTTTCCGTCTCTGATTCGACCCGATCAAAGTAGCTTCCGGTTGCCAATAACGGTGCCGAATCAAGAGCTCAGCTCGTTTGATTGCTTGCTTGCTTTTCTCGGCAACTGAACTCACTGACTCTTCTTTCCTCGTCTCATCTCCCCCCAAACGTGCATACTACCTTACCTTACCTTACCTTACCTGCCGCTACCTCCCGTTGCCTTTCCCTGCCCTGCCTTACCTTACCTACTTTTATACTCGCACTGCGCTGCACTGCACTGCGCTGCACTTTCCTTTCTCCCACCCCCATACAACCCAATCCCCTTGCGCCGACGGAGAAAGGGTACCTACCTAAGGTATCTACTACCTTGCCTTACTTATTAGGGTGTGCAGGTTGTTGGCTGGGTGCGTGCAATTACAGGGCCAACAGCTGATCCATTTTCTTTCTTCTCCCATTTATTATCCCAACTTTCTCATTATCGACAAGTCTCACACGCGCCTTTCACCAACTCGTGTCTTCGCGCTACAAGGGACCTCCAAAATGGCATCCAATACTCAAATGAATGACTTGGTCAGCCGATTTAATGCTCTCCAGGCTCGAGAAATGCCCGAGCAGAAATATATCAAGGTCTGAATTCCGCCCCCGGTACTTTCTGCAGTATCCTCCTTGTGACTTCGTATTGTCCGATCATTTCTGACTCTCATGACAGGACCTTGTAGAAAGAATGCATGCGCTGCAACAAACAAATCATGTCCTCCAAGAAAAGCTTGCCGACGCTAACTTGGGTTTGAATCATATGAGCCAGCTCCGCAAACTCTATGAAGGCACTCGATTGCAATGTGAAATGCTCACTTCGGATCTTAGTCACATCAAGGTGCAACATGTCGCTGTGCGCACAGAACGCAGAAGCTAACATGTTCAGGGTGTCAATAACTATGTCTATATAATCATGGACGGCAATGGACTCATTGTACGTTCGATCTCGTCTTGTCTAATCTCATCCAGCTCGCCTTCTCGAAAGGTTGTCCATCGTGAAAGAAATCCTCGCTAACTACCATGCAGTTCGATAATCGCTTTATCAAGCAAGGCCGCGAAGGTGGTAAGCAGGCGGCGCAAGCTCTGCATCTCGCGGTAACGAGGCTTTGTCCTAGCCTGCCATCTTCGTTCGAAATCTTCTGCGACGTTCTGGTCAACATTGCTGAGATGGGCCGGGCCCTTGTGAATGATGGCAGCATTGATGACCCAAGTCTTTTTCATGAATTTGCTTTCGGGTTCACAGAGGCCAAGTCTTCTTTCAACTTTATTGATATTGGCTTGAATAAAGGAACACTGGTTCGGAAGATCCAAGGTGCGTCCAGCGGCTGGTGAAATGATCAGAGACACATTTGACTGACGTGCACAGAAACGGCAACGTGGCATTTGGGATGCTATAATTGTAGACACGTCATGTTAGGCATCGGCCATGGTGCCCAATATGCTCCTTTTCTGCGCAGAGTTAACGAGGCCGGGGATGCCAGAATGTGCGTCTCCCTAATTCTGGGAGAACCTATGGTGCGCGAAATCGAGGCCTGCGGCAACACTGTTTACGCGCTTGACGGCGATATCTTTCGCACGACCAAACTTGTGGATAAGACTTTGATAGAGAACCTGAGTGTGCAGCGTACCGAGGCGACTAAACCAGAGGGTTCACCGGTAGCTCGCGCTGCAACAACACAAGCAGTATTGACGCCTGCTACAAGCACTTCATCCATGTCGCCCCCACAAACTTCCTGGGCCAAGATCACGAAAAGCGCCACTCCTCCCCCCAAACTGACTATGCCCCTGCCCCCCAAACAGGACAAGACCAAGCTCGCGAGTAAAGCACCTCCTCAGCCAGCTTGGAGCCCTGGACCTCGGGGCCGCGATCCTCCCATCACAGTTGGCATTCCAGCCATGGAAGATATCAAGCGTCGTGAGGACTCGGACAAACTTTGCAACAATCACTTTCTCCGTGGGCCTTGTACCAGAATAGGTGCTTGTACTTTCAACCATACATTCAAGCCGTCAAAAGAGCAGTTGAAGGCACTCGCAATGCTCGCCCGGCAGAACCCCTGCATCAACGGACAAGACTGTGATGTCGACGACTGCATATATGGGCACAATGTGAGTTCTTCCAAATTCCAAAGCCTTTGTTACTACTTGCTAACTTCGCAACTGCAGTGCCCCAATGTAATCAATGGTGTATGCACTCGGTCACATTGCAGATTTAAGGTCGACGGTCATCCCCCGAATACCAAATTTACCAACAGCAAGATACACGAAAACTAGCTGCATTGTGTGTAGCGTTTGCAGCAGGTTGCACGGCACTCGGCTGGCACAGTTTCGGACTTGATCTGGTGTACACTATAGTCGCTTCGTTTTTCGATCACACGTTTTTAATATTCATTATACGAAGGGCTAGGAAGTTCTACTATGCCTATGACAGGCTTTGCTACGGAACGGAATAACTGGGCTTCGACAAATTGATTGACTTTATCATCGTACTTTTCAAGTTGCCGATGTGTATTTTTTCATCCTTGGTGAAGGCGCCCGGGTTTTGGTGTGTTGCATCACTCATAAACTAAATTGAGGGTCTCATAATATTCACCTTTCTAAATACTTCATATCTCTGGTTCATGCCCCGATCTTGATGTCCATGGCTCTCTAATTGCAGATCTCAAGCCCTTCTGCTTCTCATACGAGCGATTGCCAAAGGTTACTCTTAGCCTAGGCTGCCTACTATACCTAGAACTGTCTCGATGTCACTTCGGTTGTCAATGATGCTCAAATCTCGGATTTTCTGTATTTCACTAGATAGCCAGATAAGTTTTTACTTTATGGAATTCTTGTAGTTAATAACAAAGTTTACCACTCTTTTTGCCCCTGTCTTTCTGACCCTTCATTTTCGTACCAATAGGAATAACTCTCGGTGAGCTCGGTGAGCAACACAAACTTTACCTTAAGTACCTATACCCCACATTGAGGCTCATCCCACACCGCGCTTGGGTGAACTTCATGGGCAAAGTGCCACCTTCCATGTCCCACTTGTACCCCATATCTCTCAACCTCACCTCAACCGTTACCGTCCCGAGTCTTTGGGCCTCAATTGTACACCCCCGACGAGGAGCCTCGCCTGTATCGAGCTCGGTGTTTTCTCAACTGCTGGAGGATACTGACACTTAACAAACGTCCCTCCAACTTTACCCCTCCTCCTCATCGTCCTCTGGCAACCCACCAAAACCGCAAAAATGTCCCACCCAAGAATAGAAGAGGTGTCGGACAGCGACTTCGACTCTGACCCTGCAGAGGCCGATATTGATGATTTCGCCGACTCCGATATCATGCGCCGAGTCGAACCCTCAGAGGCCGCTCCTAAAACAGCTCCCGCTGCTGTAGCTCCTCCTCGTCAGATGCCCGCCATCGTCCCCGCCGATGCCCCTGCTGGCGGTACCATGCCCGCCTCAGCCGATCGATCTGCCTACGCCGATTTCCAATGTCTCTACCCTGTGTACTTCGATGCATCACGATCCCGCGCAGAGGGCCGTCGTGTGGGCGCTGAACTCGCTGTGAAGGATCCCCTTGCGCGAGAGATCGCAAACGCCTGCTCGAGACTACGCCTACCAACACTCTTTGAACCTGAAAAGGTGCATCCCAAGGATTGGGCGAACCCTGGCCGTGTCAAGGTCGGATTGAAGAAGACGCCTGGCCACCCTGTCAAGAACAAGCATCATTTGTATCGTCTTGTTGCTGAACACCTGCGCGAGAACCCTACGACCGAAGACAGCCCCGGCCTGCGTGTCCGCATCGGAGGCCAGCTACAGCCTGAGGCTGGGAAGCCCTACCCCAAGCCCGCTGTGCCGCGCGGATGGAAGATGGGCGAGTTGGTGCCGTATCTAAGTGCTGCTATGACCGGTGGTGGTGTCTCTGAGAATCTGTTTAAGGATATGATGAAGGAGATGCAGGGTGGTGGAGACCCAATGTCAGCCCTCATGGGTGTACAAGGAGGTGGTGGTGAAGAGAGTAGCAGTGGTGGTAGTAAGAAGAAGAAGGATAAGAAGGGTAAGGGTAAAGCATGAGAGGATCTATTGTCCGGAATGTATGAGGGTGCCATGATCTGGGAAGGATAGAGATACCCAGCGATCAAGCATAAACAGATGAACAAAAAAGATGAAATGATTCAAGATTCAATTCCTAAAAGCCCCTGAATGTCAGGGGTGGTTTGGCAAGGCTTGCTTCTGCTACGTAGATTTGCTATTCGTTCTCTCATACCAACAAAATCCACCAGAATTGATGAAAGACAAAGACGAAATCAAGGGGTATGTAATATTCTATAATCATACAGCCAACCGGCCCTGCAGAGCCTCCCATTCCTGCGATCCCACGATCTGGACACCTCTTCCTGAGCCTGGCACAACCTTTCCGTCGACGCCGGGCAACTTAATACGTAGACGAGCTGCTGTGGGAGTCTTCTTTCTCCGTTCAGCGTTAGCCGTTTGTCCTTGGAGAACTTGTGCCTTCTTAAGGACCGACTCCTGCCAGGATTCCCAGCTTGCATAATCCTCCATCTGCTTGGCTGCGTGATACTGCGGCGTTGATCGCACAGGCTTCCAGGCGAGCTTGTCTTGGGGCAGGGAAGAGAAGTCGTAAAGGGAGGCGGAAGACGCCATCTTGACGAGCTCGCCGAGGACATCCTTGCCTTCGGCTGCGATCATGTTACGGCGCTTTTCAGCGACAGAAGTAGGCTTCTTGAGTGGCTCAGCAAGCCACTCGTATTTATGTTGCTCGGATGTACGGGCCCGGCGGTTATCCTCGCGTAGATATCGAACTGCAGACTGCAGACTCTCGATATCTTTCTTGAGGGCATCCATCTCGCGAGCTGTGGCAACGGCTCGTTCCTGGCCTGCCTTGGCTCCAGCAGCATCTGCGCCATCAGCGTAAGCACGGCTATCGCTGGCAATCTTCTTCCACTTATCGCGCTCTGACTCAAGATTCTTGAGCTCACGATCTTGCTTCTCAATATCTTCCTTGAGGCTACCGATCTGCTGGCCTGAAGCCTCAAGCTCCTCTTGCAGCTTGGCAATGCGATCAATGTTAGCTTGGGCATCACGCATTCTGGACTCGAGCGTCTCGATCTTGAGGACAGCAGTGCTGAGATGCTCATCACGTTGGGCGATGGTGCGGCGAGCCTCGCTATGCTCCTCTTTGAGGCGACGCAGCTCCTCCTCCGCGTCGACGGGGATGGTCTTGAGAGCCTTGAGCTCTTGCGAACGCAGTCGCCAGGGCGCAGGAGTGACGTCGAACTCTTGAACCTGGTCGAGGTCGGTAGCAAGTGACACCAGGTCACTGATTTGAGTGGTGACGGCTCGCAACTTGGACAAATAAGTAGAGAACAGGTCCGACTCGCTTAATGTGCTGACAGATAGGACTGTCTTGTAAACAGCAGTTTGTACTTCTGCATAGGTGAAGGGCTCAGTGCGACCCCCGTCGGAAGTGAACAAGCTGTGAATGCCGAGACCAATCTGTCGTGCTAGATCGGCAAGCTCTTGCGTCGCCTCACAACATTGCTCAAACGCTTCGTTGGTGTCTGGCAGTAGAGACAGAGATCGCGAGCGCAAATCCTGGAGGGCCCGGACAGCCTTGGCAGCGATGACCTTTGTGCCTCGAGTATGAGTAACAACCGCCTCAGACTTCTTCGCGAAGTGCTGAGCCAGCTCATCCTCCTCGCCCTCAGCGGGAACCACTCGTTGAACGAGGCCTCGCACGGTGGTAAAGGAAACGGCTGCGGAGTCAAGGTGGCTCTGCATAACCATGGCCTTCATGTGAAGATCGTCAGCATAGTTAGCCAGGCTGTTAGAGATGTGCACCTCTCCCAGGTGAGAAAGGAGGGCAATGGTACGATGCAACTCGTCGGCGCAAGTCTTCTCCTTCAGGTCGTCGCGGCGAAGACCGTCAATCCAGACGTTCAGGGCTCGCTCAACAGGCTCTAGCTCGTGCAGTGCGTTCTGGTACTTGGAGAACTGCTCGATGGTGCAGTGCGTCATGTCGTTGACGAAGCGATCGCACATAGTAGACACCCAGACGAGTTTATCCGAGGCATCACATCCAGCAAACACATCGTCCTCGTGTCCAGGATGAGGCTGTCCATTGAGTCGTTCGCGGATGAAGCTGTTGAGGAGGTTCGCTTTGAAGGCCACCCGACGGAAGCGAAGCAGAGAAAGAACGGAATCCTGGTCCTCCTTGTAAGTGTCAGGGAGGAATAGCTTGACCATCTCCAGGTGTTGCTCTGCTTCCTGGGCGTCCAGTCGTCGTAGTTCGAGGTCGATAGTCTTGACTTGAGCCTTGGATGCTGAGATCTGAAGCTTCATGTTGAGATCCATCATGGCCCTGGATCGGTCGTTGAGTTTCTCTGACTCGCCTTCAGTCACAGCTTGTGAGGCCTTCATGTCGTCCAGGTCGCTCTGCAGACTTGTCACCAGCTCCCGGAAGCGTGAGAGGGTATATTCCATATCCTCTAGAGACTCTTCTTGCTGGGCAGCTCGTCGAGCCTGCTCAGCAATGACACTGTCCTTGAAGTCGAGTTCTTCTTGCATCTCTTTTTCGTTCTGCACATGATTAATCTCGAGCTCGTCGTTGATCTCCTTCAGGCTCTCGAGATCATCAATGACAGCCTTCAACTCTTCGATTTGTTCAGACATGCTCATGTTGCGCTCCGTTAAGTCTTCAATCATGTCTTCAGCACCAAGCGCATTGTCGAGTTGTTGACGTAAATCTTCCACGGCACTTTCTGACTGCTCGAGCTTTCCGCGGCACTTGGAGAATTCCTCCTTCATAGTGTTGAACTCTTTAACGTCTTCCTCGAGCCCTTTAATCTGACCTTTCAGTTGTTCCTCTGTCTCCTGAGTTAGGTCACGTAATCTCACAAGAGCTTCCCTGTATCGTTCGTTCGTCCGTTCCATCTGCAACCAGCTTGAAGTTGCTCGTTCTTCGGGGGCCATTCCCTTGCTGTACTCTTCGTTCTCTTCCCGCAAAATCTCAACTTCCAATTCCATCTCTTCGGCTTTCTCCTTCAGAGCCTCCAGCTCGGCCTTCAGAACCTCCGCTGTTTCTTCCGCCATTTCCCGGTCGAGTGTTGCTAGTTCTAATATGCTGTCGTGCTCTGCCTGGAGCTCTTCAACGGAATCAAGTCGCATTTCCGCCTCTTTCAGTAACTTCTTCAGCTCAGCATTTTCCTGCTGTTGCGGTTGGTATTTTTGTTGCAGCATTTGGATGACGCTCTCGAACTTGTCTCTCTCGCCCTGGACTTTGTCAAGTTGTTTTAACTTGTCTCGATCTTCAGCCCGTTTGCGCTCTAAAACCTTCAACTTGGCCTTCAGGTCTTCGATTTCTCGACTTGCTGCCGTACTTGCAGCAGGACGGGGTCCGGTTGTCGTAGATGAAGGTTTTCGTGCTGCAGGGGGTGTGGTTGTTCGCGATGAAGGTCCACCTGTAAGCTTTTCAAGCGCCTTTGTTCTAGCTTGAACAGGGCTCCTGGGCTGAGGTGAAAGAATGTCCCCATTATCCTTAATAGGAGAAGCAACGTCATCTCTGTCCGAGGAGCCTCTTCTTGCTTGCGAGTCGACAGATGTCCGTCTGGCTGCTGAGCTTGGCCGAGATGCTGGCCGAGATGCTGGTCGTGGTGGTCCGGCCAAAGACATGCGGCTAGTCGTTGTCCTCGGGGCTGCGGATGCAGCTCTTGCTGTGCCCGACGAAGTAGATACTTGTCTTGTTCGAGCAGTGGGTGGAGGAGGACCCATAGATGTTCGTGGTCCTCCAACTGATGGGCGCGACTTTGCTCCGACGGAAGGGACGCGCGCATTTGATGGTGTTCCTGTTCGGGATACAGTGGTGCTCGAAGCAGCACTCAACTGCTTTGTGGGAGATTTCGTAGGTGACTTGATCCGGGTTAGCTTTCAACTCAACAGCTGTACCACAGCACCTACTCTTGCAATGCTTGTCGGCCGTGAGACTCTAGGTACTGGGCTAGGACTGGGAGCATTGAGACTCTTTCTTCTACCCAAGCCTGCGTCCCCTGCCGCACTCGAGGCTCTACCTGAAGTTGGTGCGAAGCTGCTTGGCCTTGCAGCAGGCTTCCGAGCAGTTGGCTTTGGTGTAGGTGCTTGTGCGATAATCTTGGCCATCACAGGTTTGACAAACATGCCATAGCCCATGGGGCAATCAAAGTAACGCTCACCCTGAACGCTTCCATCGTTTTTGCCCGTCTTGGTCTCCAGCTCAACGCCTATCCATTCTCCGACCTGAAAGTGAGTGGTGCCCACGAAACGAACGATGGCCTTGGAGCCATCGTTTAGTTGGACAGTCTGCCCAGGCTTGAAATCCGGCATTATAAGGTGTTGTCGAGATCGTAGGGCATCGTGCCGGCACCGCTAGTACTTGAGGTGTTCTTTAATGGTGTCGAGGAGGGGGGTCGTCGGCCTTTTCTTTGTCTTTGTTGATGCTGTCTCCTGAGGCGCGTACAGTACTAATTAGACGGGAGGGGAGCTGTCTGGGTAAGGTAGGTAGTGCGTAGTGGAGCGGTACTTGAGTTTGGTCCCTAGAGTCAGGGCGCGTTTACCTCCCGGATAAATTACGATGGCGGCTGTCATTCCCGGCGTTTAGCGGTTAAGGTACGTACATTTGCTGCAGGGGTAAACTCAAACTCCACCGACTTGCAGGGATTGGATATCAATACCTTTAGTACTATAATTGTAAGGGTGCTTAGCTTCAGGTTCACTTGGAAGACGTCAGGTGTACCTAGGCCGAACAAAGAGAATAGAAAGATGCTTATTTCTTTGGGCTATAATTAGCATTTCAGGTCATATTCTTTGTCTGTTTAGTCTCCAGACTTGGCTCAGACTATGCTCATTATTGGAAGCGTATGTAAACAAACAAACAAACAAACAAAAAACAGATGTGAGAGTATTGACGCCATGGACTCCTACCTACTAATCTTTACATGTTTACTCCCATCCTTTGGATAGGAATGTGATATTAGCTGAACCAACACATGTTTCCTCCAAATAAACAACCCCATCAGTTA